GAAAGGTGGAAAACATATATTTAATACTAGCGCCGGGTATTTAATGTTCGGATCCGCCCGAACTTAGACTTTCTTACTTGTTTTTTTTAAATTTTCCTACCAAATTTATCTAATTTTCTAAATTTCGCTAGGGCACGTACCCAGCCGTGATCTAGAGTCGTACAAAAAAAAAAAAATTGGTATTTATGTTGTGAAGAATGAAATTCTTTACAACTTTGGAATTTCAATATGCTATGTATTTTTAACAGAAATTGTTAAAAAATGGCGAAACCCGTGACAATGTAAAATTTTTTCGCAATTTTTTCTAATTTTTTACAATAAAAAAATGCTATTTATAAAAAATCTTCTATATAAAAAATGTGGAACATAAAATATTTTTATTTAACCATCTTTTACAACAGATGCAAAATAAGCTTGCAAATGGCAAAAAACCCCAAAAAAGTTAAATCCAAGATGGCGGAATGTTTCCAAAGGAAATTTAGGGACAAGACTGTGGATCCATGATCTACGTGTCAAATAGAAGTAAACTGCATCAAAAAATTGCTGTTACAAATCTAATTTTATTGGGCTATTCAGAACCACACATTAATGCTGCTTTGGATTAGACGCCCCCACGTTTGGCTAGGCATTACCAAAAATTTCAACTTCAACTCATTTCATTATATTTAACTTCGCTGCCATTTCACTTTTTTCCAACTTACCTCTAACTCTCGACACGGATCGATTACTTGCAGCGACATATTGTCTAAATGATTTCCGGATATGTTGAGATAGCGCAGCTGCTTGAACGGCACCAACAGTCCAATTGGCAGCACTCCCATATCGGCCACAGATAGATGTGTCAGCTGCGGTATGACCTGCAAATGGTAGACAAAATTGGAGGTGAAATACAAACGATATACATAAGTGAGGATACATAGTTTGGTAATAAACATTTTCAAATCGGATTTGCTGAAGTAAGAAGGAAGGAAGATAAAGTTTTATATTTAAATATTAGTTTTTATCGACGAAAAACTTTATCTAAGTACGAAACGTTCATCTGCGTCAATGTGTGTACGCATGTACACATGTATGCATATTTTCGTCAGTCAGTCTGGCCAGAGCTTTTTTTATACCCGAGCGCACTTGTGCACAAGGGTATTATAACTTTGTTCACATAACGGTTGTTTGTAACAGGCAAAACGAATCGAGATAGATATAGACAAATGTATACATAAATGATCAGAATGAAAAGAGAAATCGATTAAGCGGTGACTGTCTGTCCGTCCGTCCGTCCGTCTGTGCACACGATAACTCGAGTAAAAATTTAGATATCTTAACGAAACTTGGTACGTGAACTTCTTTTGGGCGTGGGACGGATGGTATTGAAAATGGGCGAAATCGGATAATAACCACGCCTACCTCCCATATAACGGTAATTTTAAGAAATACGAAAACTGCGATATTTTAGTAACTACTGAAGATAATTCACTCAAAATTGATACTTACAATGAGTTTCAGACGGAAAACATGAATATTATAAATTTTTGGAAAA